TGTCGCTAAAATCATCAAAAACAGAATATCGGGAGGTATCGTTATATGGGGCCTATATGAAGACGTGGACCTGCGCAGACAATTTTCTGTGGTAGGCTGTAGTATCCCTTACGAACCTTTAATACTAAATTTAAACAATTCCGGTGAATAATGTCGCTAAAATCATCAAAATTCGGATATCGGGAGGTACCATTATATGGGGCTATACCAAAACGTGGACCTACATGCCTCATTTCAATACCAAAAGTCCTGCATACATAATATACATTGAGTAACATTTATTAAGCTACTTCATTTTGTTCGAAAGCTAAGTATTTCCACAGACGGGTAGACGGACGGACATCACTAAATCGACATAGAATTTTATGCTGATCAAGAATATTCATACCTTGTGGGTCTAAAATTTATATTCGTGGTGTTACAAGCGGAGGACAAACTTAATATACCCCCATACCATGGTGGAGGGTATAAAATTATATATGAGTATTTTCAGCTAATTTAGTATAAGTTCCAAACAGGGTTATTATACCCTCCACCTTTTGAAGGAGGGCATATTAAATTTGTCCTTCCGTTTGTAACACCTCTGAATATTCATCGTAGTGCCCATAAAGTATATATACATCGTGATCGGCATTAAATCGTATGTCGATTTAACGTCGTTTCTCTTGTCTGTTTGAAGTAGATCTTTAAAGTTTGGTACAATAGTTTGTATTGTGTCTAGGATGAGATATATCGGTATAACATTTTGGTATAGCCTCTTATAACGGTACTTCCCGATGTTCAGTATTTAGATTGTTAGCCATATTTTCCCACGGATTTATCTAAAAAGTGTTGAGTTTTGCAACGTTTTCCCACGGAATTATTCTAAATTTGACATTAAGAGTATTACGGGTTCTACTTTTGGGGGAAAACATTGGCTGCATATTTCCACGTTTTTCGTATAGCCCCCCCCCCCCCCCCCCCCCCCCCCCCCCCCCCCCCCACATATATTTGGTATTGCAAAATTTTTGCGCCATTTTCCCAAGCGTTGGTTTAAAAATTGGTATTAATAGTTCGTAATGGATTCTTGAATAATTTTCAAAACATTGCCTATATTGGTCCACTGTTTCCGGAACCCACCTGTGTTCTGTTAATCCTTGTCACAATTACCTACGGAATTGTTAACAATTGGTATTTAAGACTCGCAATAGATACGATATATTTGTATAAAATTGTCTATATACGCCCTGGTATGGCCTCCATATACTTTATTGTGTTTTGAAAACTTTGCCGAATTTTCCAACCGATCTTACTAATAGTTGTATTTTAAAGTGCAATACGTCTGATTAACATTTCCAATTAAAATTGTAACTAAAACAACCAAAAACCTTTGATCACCGGTAGAGTTATATGGGGACTTTACCGAAACGTAGAACTGTATGTTTTATTTTCAATACCAAAAGAATTTTAGGTAACCTTATTATATTAACCCTTTTCAGTTTTGCTCAAATACATTTCAGTTGCCTTAAATCGTAATAAACTTAATTTGAAGGGTAAATCGGTGTCTAAGGCGTAGCTAATGTTTTTAATATTTTGGCCACTGTCTTTCTACAATACGCAATAAAAAAGTAAGAGACAACTCTCCAACAATTTGGGTTTGGAATTTGTAATAAGCTTTATAATATTATATCGCTTATCATATTGGGCAAGGGAACCATACACACACATGGTTTGATTATTTTATTATTTATAATATGTCATAATCTACAAGGTTTTTGTGGTCCTTTGTTTTACTCATATTCGGGAATATTGTAATACATATCATATTAATCATCTTTGTTTACTTTCGATAATACTAATAAGTATTTTTTGATTACTTCTAATTTCAGAAGCATGCCCCAAAACTCCAACTGACGTAAAGACGTCAAATGAAAAGGTGCCGTCACCAGAAGTTCCATTAAATGGATCTCTGGTAAGTGCTCAAGGTCAGCAGCAGCAGCAACAGGTGGACAGCCACAGTTGCCTCAGCAAAAAGCTAAACGAAAACACCGTCGAGGCAAACCAAAATCCAAAAATGTTAACAAACCGTACAAGAAAACCAATTGGAGATTTCAAATGCCACGCCTTAACTACAGTAAATGTGGTCCTGGCAGTGGCGGCGGTGGTGGGGGTTGTTCTACCGGTGGTAATCGCCGTGAAAAGCTGCAACGTTCCCGTTCATTGGTACCATATAATACCAATAAATTTCTTATGGAAGAACATTTAGCAGAAGTTCCGAATGGCCTCTTTACACCCTCTGGCAGGACACGCGATTCTAGCTTCTCCATGGATTCAGAGGATAATTATTTCTTTTCGCTGCCCGAAGATGAGGAAGAATTTTTGACCAAGGAATTTGCCAATGTCTATGAGAAGGCCCGGGTCGAGCGTTTAGAAAATTTGAGCAAACAAGAACTCATCCAGGAATGTTTACAAATTGAAGATCGTTATTCCAAAGATCAGGGTAATCAAAGGCAACAGCAGATGAATATACAACGTATAGCATCGGAGTATATGGCTAAAGTACGAATGCTGGAAGAAAAAGTTCGTGAGCTATCAAGAGAGAATCATAGTAAGTATGACATTTTGGGATGATTAGTTATATTTGCGACATTCAAATCTGGAGTTTTAAGTGAATTCTTTAAAGTTTGAATTTTATATAATCATACATTATAATTATAAAGGCTTTATGGAACCAGATATTCTATCCTGGGTGTCGTCATTTTGTAGATTAGATTTAGGCTTGAAAAGAAACTTGATGAACTCTTTGAATAAAACTTATCTTTTGCAGGCTAAGATATAGATAGGTCAGAAATAGTTCTAACCAAGGAACAAAGTAGCCGTAGAAAGTAATTGAAGTCATCTGATTTTTTTCACGAAAATTGTTGAAGAGAGATTCTTCCAATTTTTGTTTTCCGACATGGAAAATCAATAAAAAAAAGATAACACAAGCAAAAGTAGTTAAAATTCTCTACAGGGTGAAATAAAAAAACTGCAACAAAGACAAACACCATAATTTTTTTTAAATTTTATTGAATAAAAGCAAAAAATGTCGGAAATAGCATACAATTTTAGAAAAATTTTGTATTTGTTCGATTTGGTCACCTTTTGCGAGCAGCGTAGCGCTTGCGTGAGGTGATCTACATTTTGATATTTTTAGTGCCAACCTTGCTTTCCAAAATACTTCAGATACAATAGTCCAACGGATTGGTATCCGGAGATTTTGGTGGCCATTGTGCGCTGGAAATGAAGGGAGGAACCTCATTTTGTAACATTTCCCAAGACTTTAATACACCCTCCAGAATATTTTCGCGATAATACTCGGCATTATTTTGATGCCACGTTCGATTAATAAGAGCGGAGAGCGACCATCGGCTGTTATGGCGGCCCACACCATACCATAACCCACGCATGAGTTTTGGTGGCCAACCCCTGAACAGCTGGCCTCTTTGGCAAGTAAACAGGATCCTTTTGTTTGTTTACAAACTGTTGAACAACGAATGTTTCCTTATCGGAGAAAACCAAATTCGACAGTTTACCACTTTCGTCCAAGCGAAGCAACTCTTTAGCTCTTTTGAGTCTATTTTCTTTCTGTTGCGGTGTAAGTTCTTGCACTTTTTGGAATTTCAATGGTTCATTTTTCAATATTTGGCGAATGGAAAATTGCGATATGTTCAGCTCACGAGCCATTTTTTGGCCACTGCGACGCGGGTTTCGATCAAGTCGCTTCTTTATTTTCGAACCATTTCTGCTGATGTTGCTGTTTTCTTTCGTCCACTTCCTTGACGTCGGGCTACGCTACCAGTATCACTGTAACGAGCGATGGTACGAGGCACAAAAGATTTATTTTCAAATTTAAATGCTGAAGTGTTCTAACGATAGCCACTTGTGATTTTCCAGCCAAATATAAAGAAATCACACTAATAGGCTTGAATTCCATCACGAATAACTTTTTTTCTGGAAAACTCTCACCAGAATGCTTTTATATGCTTGGAAACAAAATAATGAGCTGTCACTGAAAAATTTTAACAGCTTTCGGACGAGTGGCTTAGAAATGACAGCAGTCTGAAATTGGTTGCAGTTTTTTCATCTCACCCTGTAATGCCCAGAAATACAATATCAAAATATAGGATTGTTTGCCATTGAGAATTTCTGATTCATTTAAGAATACTACTAAAATCTTTTTTCGATTTCTTTCAGATCTGCGCTGTCAGCTAATGCGTTCAGCTGCATTTGCCGCTGCTGCTGCGGCTTCACCACCCTCAGCTGCAGCACCCATTGGTGCTGCATGTCAACCAACGCCCATGGATTCATCGAGTGAGGACAGTGAAAGTGATAGCTCTAGTTCGAGTTCATCTTCATCATCATCATCCTCCAGCAGTGACAATGAAGAGGAGCGATGCAATGAAGCAGCGCGTCGTCGTAGGCGAAGTTGTTCATCTCATAGTTCTTTAAGTGAGTATAATGGTTATGTAGAAAATAACTATGTACAACAAAATGGTGCAGCAACAAACAATGAAGGTGGTATCCTGCAATCTGTATCTTCTCCGGTCCATCCCGTTGCCGCTGTCAATGATGCAGATTATGAGCAACAACAATTATTAAATGATGATCATATGGATGATGATGACGATGATGGCGATGATAATGAACCAAAAGAAACAAATCTTACAAATGGATTTCATGCAGACACTGAATCTTCTTCACCTGTTAGATTAAGTGCCAGACTTGTAGGTGGAAATAATGGTGACATACCTGATGGAGGAGGTGGCGGCGGTGCCGTCAATGATGATGGTGCAAATAATATTGTGGTCAATAATGCTAATGTACAGAAATGAATAACGGTTCCATTGATTCCCCTATTAATCTCCTGTTAAACCACAAAATCCTTTGCTTACCTAGTATGTGATCCTGTGAAATGTTTTATAAACACCACAAAATAAAAATTACGTTTTCGTTTATAAGTCTTATTGAAAAAAAAACAAAATTTTGGTTGTTCCTACAAACAATTTAAATATTTCAATTTTTTTCTTTGTATTTATCTTCAAGCTTATGATTTTATTAACTTCTTAAGTCAATTAAGTTTGACAAACAAACATTTATTTTTAACATATTTTTTAGTCTCGTTTAAATGTTAAATAACATAACCAAACAACCAACAAACAACTCCCCTTAGAACTGTAGGCATTTTATATTTTTGTAAAAAATCGTACAATTATTACGCATAGAGAAAAAATATACATACAAATACATACTTACACAGTGAAATTTAAAAAAACGTACTTTATTTATTATACCAAATGTATTTAACCTCTTTGTAATTGGTTTATAAAAGTTTTTATTTTCTATAGGGATTTTTGTCTAGTTCGGCTATTTTGCATTATTTCAGAATGAGTGATTTATTATCCCTTGAGTGGGGAAATTATTTGCAAAGAATCTCATTCTCAATTTAAAAAGGTGAAGGCCAGTTTCCACATCGTGTTAGAGTCATATGTAAAGTGAAAGCATTTTATAAATAACATTTTTGTAACAAACTTACATTTTTTAAGCTTGATCGAAACCAAATACTTTAATAATCATATGCTGTTCAATGTTGTGTTAAATATATGTAATATAAAATATACAGGGTGTGATAAAAAAACTGCGACAAGGTCAAACGCCATAATTTTTACATTTTTTTAATTTTATTGTACGAAAGCAAAAAATGTGGGAAATAGCATCAAATTTTAGAATAAGTTTAGATTTGTTCGAATTGGTCACCTTTGGCTCGAATTACGACCTTCAAACGAGCAATGAAATCGACACACACCGCCCGAATGTTGCTCTGCGGTATTTTGACCCATTCCCGACGATGCTGGAAATGAAGCGAGGAACCTCATTTTGTATCCATTCTTGGGAGGGGCGTGCTGAGTGCGATGGTTCTGAGTCCTGTTGGAATGTCCAAGGTCTGCGATCAAAATGTTTGCGCGCCCAAGGCTTTAATACACCCTTCAGAATATTTTCGCGATAATATTCGACGTTTATTTTGATGCCACGGTCGATTAATACGAGCGGAGAGCGACCATCGGCTGTTATGGCGGCCGTCACCATCACCGAAGGTGCACATTTTCAGCTGACCTCTTTGGAAAGTAAACACGATAATTTTGTTTGTTTACAAACTGCTGGGCATCGAATGTTTTCTCATCGGAGAAAACCAAATTTGGCAGTTCACCACATTCGGCCAAGCAAAACAACTCTCTAGTTCTTTTGAGTCTTTTCTTCTGTTGCGGTGTTAGTCTTGCACTTTATGGATTTTCAATGGCTTTACACTGATATTTGCCGAATGAAATATTGCAATATGTTCAGCACACGAGCCATTTTTCGGCCATTGCGACGCTGGTTTCGATCAAGTCGCTCTTAACTTTTCGAACTATTTCTGCTGATGTTTACTTTCGTCCACTTCCTTGACGTCGGGCTACGCTACCAGTATCACGGTAACGAGCGATGGTACGAGACACAGACCAAAATGCTCTTGTACGCTCGTAAACAATATAATGAGCTATCACTGGAATAATTTTAACAGCTGTCGGACGAGTGGCTTAGAAATGACAGCAATCTGAAGTTGGTTGCAGTTTTTTCATCTCACCCTGAATGGTTTATTCTGAGATTTAAGGCGAAATGTTCTTTTCTTTATACCTTGGTCAGAAAATTAGGAAATATTTTCTGAGTTTATTTTATTATTTATTTTTATTTATTGATTTTTTTTTTTTTTTTTTGGAACATTGATGCCAATATTTTATTTTTATTTAAAATAGGGTAGAAATATAGATTTCTTTTCTTTGGCGACTTATAGGAAGAATATTTTTGTCCTTAATGTCATCCTTCTAAAGTGATGTTTTGTTGG